GGAGTGCACGGGCGCTGCGGGCGCGCGCTCCCTCCGCTGCCGCGACCCTCTCTTGTTTTGGCAGCTCTTCTAGCCAAGTGCTCTCCAGAGGAACCTTGTCACAGTTTGTTTGAACCAACTGCAATGTAATTGGGAGTAAATGAAGGAAATGGGTCATTTGCAAAATAGGTGCTTGAGTCGAGGGAGAAAAATAGCCCTGACTCATCTCGCCTGTGCCCGGCACCCTGCGGCGCGCTGGGGCTGCCGCTGCTGCTACTCGAGCGCGCGCTTGGCAGCGGCTCTGCTGGGGAATCGGGCCAGGCCAAGGTGCCCTTGGTTCTGTTATACTGAGTGCCAAGACTCCCACGGCGGAGCCCTTCATTCGCACTTGGGCGACGCGCTGGCAGGAGGGCCCGCGCGCTCGACACCCACGCGCCCGAGGGCAGCGCTTGTTTTCCTCTCCTTACACCAGCGTTTATTTATTTATTAAAAATCCCATCCATCAGGAGCTCTCACAGATGTTTGTGAAAAACAGCACATCCTTGGGCTGCCGCCAGGAAAATCATTTCATTACAAAATTGCAACTGTAAAGCAGCGCAGAAATCACAGACGTACTGTACATGGAGCTGCCTTTGTTTTCAAACTGCTCATTAGGAGGGATGCACGAGCCAGAATGAAACCCTGTGTAAGGTGAACGAGGAGCAAATGAGCCACCCGACCTCCTAAGCGTGCAGCACCGAGTCCCCTAATTACCGCGCGGCGCCGCGGGCTGGATGCGCTGGTGGCTCCTCGAGCCCAACGCGGTCCAAAGCGGTGCCTGCCCACGGGGACAGGGCACAAGGAGAGTCCCCATGTGCTGGTGGCTCCTCGAGCCCAACGCGGCCCGATGCGGCGCCTGCCCATGGGGACAGGGTACGAGGGGAGTCCCCGCGCGTGGCCGTGCCGGCTGCTCCTCCCGCGGGCGCATCCCGATGCGGGGCTGTCCCGGGGCGCCCGCCGGCTCCCGCTGCTGCCTGTCTCCACTCTCTGTGATTCTGTCTTTGCAGGTCTGGCAGTCCATCAGATAATCACCATCACAGTGTCACTCATCATGGTCATCGCTGCTCTGATAACGACTCTTGTCTTAAAGAATTGGTAAGGCGCCGCGGGGTGCGCGGGGCGGGCGGGCGCTGCTCCGCGCTGGGGCTGTGGCAGCAGCC